CTCTAGAAATTTAGAAATTATAACCGCTTTAATTTGGAGAAAAGGATCAAAACTTTAAAAATTCATTTAAAAACATTACTAAGATTGCTCAGTTTCTTGATCTGATTTTGGGGACACAAGCTGCAACCTAATGATTTGTACACTATTCTATACTTCAATATAAAGTCCAAACCATCACCAGATTTTACTGCTAATAAAACCCTCACATCAAATATATAATGAAAGAATATGTTTGAGACATGAAAAAAGTTAGGAAGAAATACAATTCTCAAAATACTAACAACCCTTCAGGGATGTTGGACATACTTTTCTACATTTTGGTATTTTTGTTCAGCGATATAACTTAAATTCATCATCTCTTACACATCTTTGTTCATACATGGCATGTACCTGTCTACACATATCTGCTTAGAAAGAGGGGGAAAAAAAAATCTGTTATCACAGTGACACCTGCTGGTATTACCTACAAATTTTAGATTCCAAGTAAAAGATTTCTTCAGCATCGAAATTATTCTTAGTAAAATTAAGTATTGCTTACATTTAAATAGATGTATAGTTAATTTTTAAAACAAATTTATGTATTATACAACTGACCACATAGGATTTTTCTTTATTTTGGGACAATGATCTCACTGTAATTTTATGAATTGTTTCCTTTAAAAAGATGATACATTTCCAAAAAACCTGCTTAAGCATTTCAAAGCACAACCCCTGAACAACACAGGTTGGAACCGCACAGGTCACTTATGCACAGACTTTTTGCAGTAAGTATACTGGAAAAGTTTTGGGAGATTTGTGACAATTTGAAAAAACATTTTATTTTCTCTAGCTTCCTTTACTGTCAGAATACAGTACATAGTACATATAACATACAAATATGAGCTAATTGACTGTTTATATTATTGGTGAGACTTCCGGTCAAGAGTAGGCTATTTAGGAGTTAAGTTTTTAGTGAGTGAAAAGCTAAACACAGAGTTTCTCCCTTAGGGGTCGGGGGATTGGTTTCCCTAATCCCCATGTTGTACAAGGGCCAACTGTGCATAAAGTTTTTAAAAAGTGATTTAACTGAGGCTTTCTTTTCAGATTATCTACAAATTCTATTTTAAGGGAAAGCAGCATTATATTAAACCTTAAAAACATCTACAGAATATCTTCTTTGAAGAACTGAAATTTCAGAAATCTGGGTAATTCATAAAAGAACTAAGTTTTACATTTATGTGTTCAACTTTTGAATACAATCTAGCTAACCTCATACTCTCTTATCAATTTTCGAATATCTTTTTCTCCCAGTTTTGAGGTATGATTGGCATATAATGTTGTATTAGTTTAAGGTATACATTTTTTTGTCTTCTTACAGTCCATGCTGTCCATTACATCCCCAGAACTTATTAATCTTATAACTGGAAGTTTGTACCTTCTGACCACCGTCACCCATTTCCCCCGCTCTCCACCCCCTACCTCTGGCCACCAGTGTTCTCTTTTTCTGTGAGTTTAGTTTTTTTTGTAGATTCTACATGTGCGATCATACAGTATTTTGTCTTTCTCTAATTTGTCACTTATAATACCCCTAGATTCATCCATGTCCCAAATGATTTCGTTCTCATGACTAATACTACATTGTACATTTATATATGCACTCTGTGTGTGTGTGTATATATATATATATATATTTTTTTTACATTTTATTTATTCAATTGTTGATGCAAACTTGTTTCCATAGGTTGGCTTTTGTAAGTGACGGTGTGATGAACATGGGGGTGGAGATACCTCTTCCAGATAGCGCTATCAGTTCCTTTGGATATATACCCAAAAGCAGAATTGCTGAATCATATGGTAGCTTTGTTTTTAATTTTTTGAGGAACCTCCATACTGTTTTCCATAGTGGCTGCACCAGTTTACATTCCCAACAGCGTACAAGGGTTCCTTTTCCTCCACATTCCTTGCCAATATTTCTTGTCTTTCTTTAATGGTAGCCTTTCTAACAGGTGTGAGGTGATACCTCTTTGTGGTTTTGATTTGCAATTTCCTTGATGATTAGTAATGTATCTTTTCATGTACCTGCTGGACATCTGTACAACTTCTTTAGAAAAATGTCTATTCAAGTTCTCTGAATTTTTTAATCTTGTTTTTATGCTATTGAGTCGTATGAGCTCTTCACATTCGTTGGATATTAAATTCTTTTCAGATATATGATTTGCTTTCTCCCATTCCATAGATTTCCCTTCATTTTGTTGATTTGAAGAAGCTTTTGCATTTGATATAGTCCCACTTTTGCTTTTGTTGCCTTTGCTTTTGGTGTCAAATCCAAAAATTCATCACCAAAACCAATGTCAAGGAGCTTACTATGTTTTCTCCTAGGAGCTTTGTGGTTTCAGGTCTTACATTCTTTAGCTCATTTTGAGTTAATTTTTGTGTATGGTGTAAGACAGTACTCCAGTTTCATTCTCTTGCATGCAACTGTCATTTTCCCAGCACTACCAATTAAAGAGACTGTAATTTCCCCACTGTATATTGGTGGCACCCGGATATAAATTGACAATGTATGTGTGTATTTATTTCTGGACTCTCTGTTCCCTTGCTGTATGTGTGTTTTACACCAATACCATACTGTTTTTCATTACTATAGCTTTGTAATATACTTTGAAATCAGGAAGTGTGATGCCTCTAGCCTTGTTCTTCATGAAGATTGCTGTGGTTATTTGGGATCTGTTGTGGTTTCATACTAATTTTAGGATTGTTCCATTTCTGTGAAAATGGCCATTGTAATTTTGATAGATATTGCACTGAATCTGTGAATCACTTTGGATAGTATGGATACAAAAAATAGTAATTCTTCCAAACCTCGAACATGGAATATCTTCCGTTTATTTGTGTCTTCAACTTCTTTCACCAATATCACATGGTTTTCAGCGCAGAAATCTTTCACCTTTTTGGTTAAACTTATTCCTAGCCATTTCATTCCTTTTGATGCATTTCCAAATGGGATTGTTTCTTAATTTCTTCCTTAACTTTTGTTATTAGTGTATAAGAACTGATTTTTGTATATTGATTTTGTATCAGTATATTGATTTTGTATCATAGAAATGAAACTGTCTCTATTTGCAGATGACATTGACTTCTCTTATGGTCATGTTTTTCACTCAGAAATGGTGATATCTGCTGTGAAGGTTAACTTTTCCATGCCCACCTGGACTCAACCAAACTTGATTTTCTTTTTTAAGTTTAAGGAGGGGAAACAATTACTTCTAAGAAATAATGGAAATCACATATCCTGCATTTAGTTCAATTTTTAGGTATAGTACTGACTATGTTGGCTGGAGTGGGTCCACTGGCCATGAGGACAGATGCACTGCAAGGGACTGGATCTTGTGCCCCTCTTTCCCCCTTGAGCCTGGTACACATGTTGACTGTTCTCAGCAACCTCAAATCATGCATTGGTCTCTTTGTGGGTGGCACTTAATCTACCTTTTAACCTTGGCTGCACTCATGTCATATTCTATCCTACGGTACAGCCTGACCACTCAGTGAATTGTGACACAGTACTAAATACTTTTAAGAATTCAGAATATTTTAGAAGACTGAAATCTCACAGAGTCCTGTATTAATGGTTGTAGTAAATGAAGTGTTCTTTTCAAAAGACTCTCTAATGGTAAAGAAAAACTTGGAGATATATCCTTAGTAAGGATTTTCATGGTATTATTTAAGGACTTAAAAAAAAGTAAAAGTATTGTTTATCTATCTCACCATGGCTGACACATTAGGTAAGTAAACATTGCAGTCCCTGAATTTCTACTGTTTACTCTTTCTCTAAAAGAACAGAGTACATCTTGGTTATAAGGATGAAGCAAGATAAAATTACATATAAGGCACTTAAAAGTACAATATAAACTGTAAACTATAAGCTGCATTATACAAATGTAAGCATTATGTTTACTTACCTTAAAATAAGTTTTGACTATTTCTTCAGAAATAATCTGAATCTTGAATTTTTGTGAGGACCAAATGTTTGTGTACTTTTTAATTTATTGCTGTGTAGTACATCACATTTGAAAATCTGTTTATTTTCTCATTTATGGAACATAAATATGAAAATATCAAGAGGAAATACTACTTTTATGTTCCCAGACCAGTCACAAGAATGCACCTTTTAGTAGTCAAAATTTTAAACTGAAAAGATTGAAGAGCAGTAAGTGATAGGAGTGATTTCAACCCTCCATTCACTGTATGGCCTTGAGTTTCACAAAGTCAGTAAAATGTTAATATTCATGCTTATTGGAGTTGAAAACTAATGATGTAATTACAAAACTTTCCTGAAGGACTATAAACATACACCTGAAAACATATTTTATATAATGGTAGCTTCAAATATTTTGACTGAATTAATATTTAAAATATTTTCCTGTTATTTTTCATCTTGAGATTAGGGACTCATAGCCCCAAATGGAGAAAAAAAAAGAGCCTCTAGGGTATAGTTTCAGGAAATGCCGTCATTATGCTAAATACAAAATAATAAAACCCTCTATCTTTTAATTTGCAATGGCAACCAGAACCCAATACATCAAAATACATGTACATTAGAAAACAGTTCAGTAAGTAAGCGGCACTGTTCAAATAGAAAGCCTGTGTGTTATAGGGACAGAGAAGAGAATTCACAATGTATCTTGGAGGCATTTGTGACTCCTCCGGATTTTCATGGCACTTTGGGTTTAATACCACACATCTAGTACCTCTATCCACATATCCATAATAGGGACCTTTTCACAAACCACAGTAGTGTCAAAAAAAGGTAATCCAAAATGAAGTATTCAGATAAAAGCTACACAGGTTCAAAACAGACTACAGTTCTCTTATTTGCTTTCATTAGCTCATGAATAGTAAAAATAAAGAATTCAATAGAAACAATCAAATTAGTTCTGATAGTAAAAGGTAATCAAATAGAAAGTATTTGACACAACAGTCAAAAGAAAAGGCACCATCTTTTATATCAGAATACAGACATGTTCTTTTTGGGGGAAATTTTAATATAATAAAATAAACATATACTTGTCTAACATGCCATTTCTGTATAGAAAAATCTCAGGTACTGGACAACAAAAATGCTAGAAAAAATTTAACCATATATTTCACTTATGGCTGGGTTCATGGCAAATTAATGAAAATAACTGAAGGTAGATTAGGAAGTGACATTTAGGTATTACACTGGTAATTTGCCCTAAAGGCATCTCCTCATCCCTTTGTCCTAGAAGGGTCTCAGTATTAAATAGCTATGACGACATGAGGGACAGGAATCACGTGGTCTGGGGCTATATTAATTTGCTTTGGCTGCCATAACAAAATACCACAGACGGGGTAGCTTAAGCAAAAGAAACTTATTTTCTCACAGTTCTAGAAAACTAAAAGCAGTCCAAAGATCAAGGTGCTAGAGAATTCCATTTCTGATGGGGCCTCTCCTCCTGGCTTACAGATCACTGCCTTTTTGTTCTGTCCTCATATGACCTTTTCCTGTGCACAGGTGAAGAGAGAGCTCTGTCTTCTCTTCCTCTTCCTATAAGGACACTACTGTGGGATTAGGGCCCCACCCTTATGCTCTCATTTAACTTTAATTACCTTCCTAAAGGCTCCATCTCCAAATACAGGCACACTGGGGGTTAGGGTTTCAACATATGAATTTGCGGGGGAACACAATTCAGTTCGTAATAGGGGCTGAGCTGGATGAAAAATAGGGTTGTTGCACCCCCAGAGGGAAGCACTCTTAGCAAGTGAACTAGAGAACATGTACATCTTCCTTTCTTCTAAACTCTGAGGAGAGCTGTGAAGGTGGCAGATCTCCCCTGGGAATGCCTTTTCACAGTCCAACACTCACATGTTTAAGGATGAAATTCACACTATGTGTGCATAAATGTGTGGGCACATGTGCATGCATGCCCTGGAGGACAGGGGAAGGAGGGGCAGGAAGCCCAAGGTGAAACTGACTTTCAAGTGGTACAGGGCCAGTAATGACACAAGAAATAGACCAGTGTGCTAGAAAAAGAAAAACCCTATTTCTCTGCAGGTATATATTTTCACACACACACACACAAAAAAAATTCCCCAAAATAAAGTTTAGAGGAGTATGAACTCACAATTAAAAAATCACTGATCATATAGAAAACAAGTCACCATAAACTTATTGTTTCAGACAAAACAACAAACTGTAGGTTCAGATCCGTAAAAAAAAAAAATTGCGATTACCATATTCAGAGCATAAAATAAGCACATTTAATACATTTACAGAAAAGAAAAAGTGAATAATGGAATTACCTAGTTGCAATTTTCTTTCAAGAGGTATATCTAAAATATACCAGAAAAGTACAAAAGAAGGATAAATATATACCTTCAACACTAGCCAGCTAGGGCAGCCTATGTAATTTTTAAAACTGTAAATTAAAAAAAAAAACCCACAAAACTACATTTTAAATCAAAATGACATAAAAGCATTTATTAGAAATAGAGACTATGACTATAAATAAAAGATTAAATTCTAAATTTGGAAGATTAAAATGCCTAAACTTAGATGTAACTAATAACAAAGGTTCAAAATGTATAGAACAAAATTGACAGAACTACAGGGAGAATTAGAAAATCCACCAGTGTAGGAAATTTCAACACATCTCAGAATCTGAGATATCAAGTAGAAGGAAAACAACATTAAAATTGACAATTTGAACAACACAAGTGAACAAGTTTGTCCTAATGGACAGCCAACAACTGGAAAATATGCATACTTTCAAGTACTAATGAAATACTTAAAAAAACAGACACTTTAGTTCATAAAGCAATCTCAACAAATTTCACCTTATCAGTCTTATATAACCTATTCTCTGACCACAATCCAATTAAAGCAGAAGTTAACAGTAAGAACAGAATTTGAAAATTACGTTAAGAAATGAAAAAAAAGTCGTAAAAGAAATCATAAAAATAGAAAATACTCAGAACTTGAAAATATTGTGCTACCATGCTTTTATATGACAGAATGTCATTTAATTTGGCCATTAAAAAATAATCCTATGAGCCACACAGAACCCATATTATCTCTGCTCAACAACATAAACAGCAAAAAATTTGTAAATTATGTAATCACTAAAGTTAATTTTTATATGTAAATTTTAAATGAAATTTAAAATTTACAAAACTGATTTGTAAACTGAGAAACCTAAGTGACAGTGTTCTAAAGTGCACTAAAAATACTAAGAGGAAAGATTAACAAAGTTATAAAGAAAATTTAGTATCTTAATGTTTAAAGCCCAAAAGCACATCAATTCATTTTGGCTTAAGAAGCCTCTTAGATCCTTATATAATATATACAAATTTATATGGTAACATATTATTCATACGAGATGAACAAACACTATCGGAAACCTTTGCTGCACAAGCTGAGTAACCACGCTTCAAAGTACGTTCTCTCTCAAAGACTCAGTCCTGATTTCTTGGCGACTGCATCTGTTCAATGGTGCATTGGCAATTAATAGCACTCCAAAAACTGCCTACAGTACAAAGGGAATTTTCATTTACGGTTCTCCTCCCTTCTCATGTGTGGGCTATTTTTGGAAGTATTTTTTTTTTCCATCCACTGAAAGAGAATTAAGAAAATTCCAACATGCTTTAGTGTCAGCAAGTGCTCTTTTTAGCCAGGTACCAGGGGATGATTGATGAACCTGTCAAGCCTACAGTAGCAGACAGAGAAAGTTGGCAGAAGTTCAGTGTTATTGAAAGAAATCTCAAATACTTATTTCATCTCCTCTATTAACTTTAATCACATTTTCAACATGCAGCCAAGAATGCAGCTTTGACAGTAAGCCATAAATTTGCACAAGCAAGCATTGTTGCTTGTCTGCAGTAGCAACACTGAGATAACACGAGGGAGTTGGGAATTTTCTTCCTTGAGACCTTCTTTATTGAAGAGCAATAAAAATATTTGAAAGATTTATCCATACCTCAAATTCATTTGCCATAAATCTCTTGAAATTACTGCATTTAATTTTGCTTGGTTTATGGCAAATAAAAAATCAACTTAGTTCCTCAATAATACTGTTAAACACAGATTTTTAAAGATCACAGTGATGACAGAATTGGTACATATTTCATCATAATACACCTGCTTATGAGAACAGACATTAAACACTAAAAAGGATTTACATTTAACATGGATGATTTGGCATGTGGGCAAACACTTCTGGTTTATTCAGAGACAAAATCTTTATATGGCAGATTTTGCTGATTACTCATTGAACAGGTTGAAACATGTATAGACATCATTTATCTTACAAAGTTTACCCACAGCAAAACAGACACAAAAATGAGGTAAATGTTATGGATAAGATTATGGTTCTTAGAAAGGTTAAATGTCAAATATATTTTTGGTGAGCTTTTCCTCCTAAACATGTTTTAAAAGCTGAAAATACTAAGTGGTGGAAGGCCACAAAACTTAACAGGTGTGTCTTGTCATTCAGTGGAACACATGGCATTATGCTGCACTGAAAACACTGCAACCTCTCCCAACACGCAGCCCAGAGACCAACACGGCCATCTTTGCTGCTGTGGAGATGAAGTTCTGCAACTTTTGCCCTCTTAAATGCAATCGCTGCTCCAGGTCAGTTGTTTTTTGTCTGCATCACTCGTGGAATCATACTTTCTATATTCTTCCAATAGCCAAGGAGGTAATGACAGGCAGCCATTGTGTCTGCCTTCTCAGCCACAATAACAAACTAATACTAACCCTGTATAAGAATGAATAAAATTATTTTTCTAAGTCTATGCTTACAGCTGAGATTATCAATAAAAAAGATGAGTAATTCGGATTAACAAAGAGTAAATTTATCCCACTTTTCCTCTTACTCCTTCCTATTCAAATAATCACATATAGGCACTTAAAACTGGAAAGATGTAGCACTCTTCTATTAAACATTTAAGTTAGACTCCAGTACAAGTGTCTTTCTTCTGATGTAAGGGTGCCACTGAATATATTGCTAAGTGTGAACCAGAGGTTAAATGGTTTGGTGGGAAGTTTTTCTGGAGGGAAGTCAACGTTTTCTTATTATTTTATCATTACTGTGGATCAAGTTCTTAAAAGGTTGAAAATTTTGCTAGGTCCTTCTCCATCTCAGCATATTGTTCTTTAAGCCTCTCCATGGCTTTTCTGTGTTCTTCATCCACTTCAGCCTGTTTGTTGTGTTGTTCTTTCATGAAATCCTCCCACTGGAGTTTATGCTGCTTTTCACTAGCTATTAAATGGTCATTATGAATCTGAGAAAAGAAAATTTGAAAGTTATGTGATATTTTTCAGACAAGTACTTTTTATGCAGAAAAGACAAACATACCTTTACCTCTTGTATTTGGTTCTGATAGCAATCAACTGACAGCACAATGACAAACTACATTCTAGTTTTAATGAACATGACCTATGAGAAACATCAAAGCTTCTCTTACTGTGACTGAAGATAGGTGATCATGTTTCTGAAACTTCAAAAACATCTACTATCTTTAAATGACAAAATCAAATGCAATCTGGTAAATTTTCTTATCTCTATTTCTCTTCAAATTCCATTTAACTTTATAAAAATTTTAAATCAAGTTTAAAGAACATATGTCAAAAAACCATTATGATAAGAAACTAAAACCATGACTTGTAGAAAATATTTTTTAGATACATTAAAAAGAATCATAGATATTTATTACTGGAAGAGAGGCTCCATAAGTCTCTTCGGTTCAGTTCCATTCCTTAAAGCAAATAGACACCAAAAGTATCTGTGCCGAATATCTAAGTTCTTCTTTAAATGCTTCTTAATATTTCTATGAGGATGAAAAAGTTGTTTTTGAGTACCTCAACAATAAAGATGAAACAATGTATAAATAAAAAGCATAAATTTAGTATGATTTCAATTATCTTTGAGTATGTACAAAAAGCTGAATAGAAAAAGAGTATGAAAAATAACTTGACATCCCTGCCTCAAATACTCTACACACGTCTTTAGAAGTTAAGTTTTGATACAGACTAAGTCCTGTTAAAAACTGTGGCAGATAAAAACCATGAAAACCTACAAAGCACTTAAAGTCATCACTAATTCCAGTGCTCTAATGAAAACAGGACACCTGGTGTTCTCAAACACTGGTAACCCAGATGCCGGCCAGGAGAAAGACAGCTCAATAGGAAGCAGACACAAACTGTTTTTGTGCCGCCCTTGGTGTCCTGGCTGCTCTATTTTCTCTCCCATCTGGGTCATGATGAGAAGTCTAAGTATCTATGAAATGCATATTTGTGCTGCCTGTTATGCACATTATCTACCTCTAAAATTCCCTATTATAAGACTATAGTATTCTCATTTTACAGATGAAGAGATTAATGCTTAAGGACACTAAATTTACTTCTCCAGAGTATTCAGGTATTAAGTTGCAGATTCAAATGTAGGTCTTTCTGACTCTGAATCTATGACTTTTCTGTCATGAAGTGCAAATCAGATCTTCCTAGAGGAAGTTTTCCACAGGTAGCTAAAAGTCTCTTTCATGAGACAAAAAAAAAAAAAACTACTTCAAGAACTCTTGCTTCCAGTCTGATCTGAAGCTCCTCAGCACCAGGCTTTTCAAAAGAGGCTGACGTGAGTCTGAAGTTTCAGTTATAGTCAAACATTCCTTCAAGAATGTCCCGCAGACCCTCGAGATCTGAATAGGCATTACAGTGGCAGGCAGAGAGGGACAGGGAGGGTTTGCTGGTCCAATAAATTTGGGAAACAGGTTAAACAAACTCAAAAAACATTACTTTCCAATTTTGCAGCCTTATAGGTTTTAATTCTCCAAAAGATGAATAAAACATTAAGAGTTCATTAAACTCTTTCCATGGAACTTTTACAAAAACTATTACAGTCTAGGAGAAAAGCCATAGTCAGATTAAAAAGAGAAAAAAATGCAAATAAATTTTCTCAAGATGGTATCTTGCTTTAGATGTAATTACTTTTTATTAAGTACAGAGAACACTAAACATGCACGCTCAGATGCTGTTTAACAGATTATTCTTTGTATTCTTTTAAAACATACCCCACAAGGCAGCAGCCCCAGTTCCGCAGCCCGCCTCTGTGCGGGGCAGCTCAGTGGAGGAAAATGAAGATCTGGGAGGCATATGAACCTCACTTCAAATTCCGATTCACTTGTTAGCAGATGTGTGACCCTGAGTGCGTTAAAGTTTCTTTAACTTTAAAATGAGGAAAATAATACTTGACATTCATAAATAATATTTAAGAGGACCAGAGATAATACATGTCAAGTTCTTAGCTCAGTGCCTGTGGTGCTTAATAAAATACAATAATAATATTTACTACTATACAAATCATAAGCAATGTTTCTAGAAGGCAGACCAAACCACTTTATATCCTCCCCAATTTGTTTCTGTTCATTTATTTTAATATTTTTAATAATAGATTCTTGGAACAATACAGGAAATTCAAATAAAAGTAACAGCTTCCCTTCCCTTTCCCATATTCAATTCAATCCTCCTTGATAATTCCACCAATTACCCCTCCGCTATGAGAAAAGACCTTAAGATGTTGCCAGACATAGTATCTCGAATCTGTAGTTTTGGAATATTATGGCTGAAGATACATACAACCAAGCAGATTTTTTACATAAGACACATCACTTCTTGGCCTCATAGTCCAGGTGAAAATTTGAATGCTGACTACTCCTTGACCCAACTAAAAACATACCCTTGCTTTCTTATCATGAAGTTCTTGAAGTCACTCTACCTTATCTATCCTTTCTTTGTCTCCCTCTTTTAATAACAGTAAGTGCTATGCAATCTTGCATTCTTCACGACAATTAATAAAGGAAGAAAGGAGGGTCAGCTTATACATTCATGTATTGACAATGATAAAAATAAACTCAGCTACCTGGAGATAACATCTACCTAAAACTTAGTTGAGAACTATATGGTAAGACATGTAAACTATTAGAAGAAAAAAAGATATCATAAAATCCATTTACAAATATTGCAGTATTCATGAAAAGCCCTTCTGACTTTGAATCTATCTTACTTTACACATAATTCTAATCACGTTATTGGTTAACTGGTTTCCAAAGCTGTATCATATTAAAAATTACAAATTAGAAAAAAAAAGATGAGATAGTAAAAAATGACAGGCACCAGCCCTCAAGTAAAGGAGAAGACAGATACAAAAACTGAAAACCAGTATGTGAAGGCACTTGGAATAGAGAAACAAGCCTTCTTTCTAATTCTCTAAAGACATCACCATATTCACCATAATGTAAAATTAAATATTCTCAGTAATTCCTAACACATGAAGAAAATCATCCTGTAATACTTCATAAATTTTTGAAAAAGCCAGAGAAGTCTGGAATATGTTTTTAAAGATTTCCATTCAAAATTTTTTAAGTTATAAAAGTACTGAGATAGATAAGATAAAAACTTTGGCTTTGTGGTAAACCTAGCTGGCTAGCTGGAACAATTCATTTTCTAAGATGACTAGATGAGGTTTTATTGTGTATGTCAGAAAAATCCCAAATTAACCATATCTTACATATCACTTAGGAGGAAGTTGAAAAGTATTCTAAGCCAACGGGAGTAAAGGTTATCTTAGGGTGTATCTGTATCTTAGGGTATCTGTATCTTAGGATATATTAAAAATGTAAGGAAATAGAGTTTAGCCAGCTACAACTTTCACTAGAATAGAATGCCAAGGAGCTGAACTGTTGCTTAATCTGAAGCAGCAAAGATACCACCTCTGAATGGAGGGCCACAATACTTCAATTCCACTGAAGCCATTCTAACATTAGCAGGCATCCTAGTTCATATATGAGGAAGTTACAAAATGCAAAGATTTAGCCTAACATATTAATGAACCTGTTTACAACTAAATAAGGAAAAATATAAATACTGAGCTAACCATCATCACCCATGCATATCACTACTTCCAACTCAGTAATTCTGCTTTCATGTTCAATAAATGGGGTTCTGTGTAAGATTTAGTCTGAAATAAGGGTTCCTCTAATTAAAATATATTTGTAAAACAATGATATAGCTCACTATAGTTATATTCAAACCATTCATACAAGTATAAGAGGAAGTTATAGTTTCCCCCACATAGATATCAAATAGTTTCCCTGGTATTCTTTTACCTAGTATTATTAATAGTTTGAATGGGTTCCTTCACGTATTTTTTTTCTATGTTTATACAAACATATTTCTTTAATAACAACAAATGAAGTCATATTACATATGATGGTCTGCAGATTTCTTTTTTTTAATAATGATACAATATGTACCAGTGACATAACCTGGTGCAAACAATAAAGGGGCAAACTAACTGCACAGAATTTAAATCAGTAGTAACAATTGAAAGAGCTAACAACTCAAAGACTGTTTTCATCACCAGGAACTGGCCATATAGAGCACTGTCTGTGACCAGGTACTCTTAAACCAAAATCCTTCTTTAGTCTAAGTTCTAAACAACTGCTGAAGTTACTACTGAACTTTAATTACATGTTTCAAATTAACACATTTTTATTATTGTATCTTTCAGTAAACTATTCTAGATTTAAGTTAGTTTAGAGGACTCCCAGTTATAAAGGTGATCAGCTGCAAGTGTTCATTTCAAAAGCAAATTCCTAATAGTTCAGAATCACTGTAGCTTTCTTTTGAAGTTTAGCCCTTCCAACCATTGGGTAATTAAATATCCTTGCATTTAAACAATGATAGTAGAGCAACTGCAGAAATACAACCTGAATTAGTTCAAATCTATCAGTGTACATTAGAATTTTTGGTACTTAAATTTGTGTATGTTTTTATTTGTACTTAAAATTTTTATACTTTAAGGCATTGTGAGCCACTAGAATAGTTTCCAAAGATAAGAGCATTTCAATTTCTGGGATTTATTGTTAAATTTGATTTTTATGAATCTCTTCTAAATTTATGCTTATGTTTGAAATTTCACCGAACTGTATTTGTTGCTTCATGTGAGATAAATTTCTCAAAATTATAATAAAAATTATATTTAGTCAACTATGAGTCAAGATAAATTGATAAATCTGTCTATACTATTTATTTAATTTTAATAGGCAAAGATCAAATTTGATGATGTCATTAACAAATGTGCATAAGGATGAAAAGCAAACCATATTATTATTGTTAGTATGAAAGACCAATATGTAGATATAAGGTTTTTCTTTTTTTTAAAAAAAGTACTTCAAATTATTAATCTTTTTTTCCTCTTTGGTTACAGTACTTTTCTTAAAGTTTT